AACACTAAATTTAGAAGTGTTACTTACCTCGAACATGCCAAACAATGCTCCAAAAATGCCATCTCGCACGTACCAGCCTCTGGACGACTCAAAACTAGCCAAGAGTAATTCAATACAATCAACACGAGCTAAAGGGATCAATTCCATAAAAAAATACTAAGTTCTTAATCAAAAGGTCGAGAGTCAACCCCCAGGCCCATTCGGCAAAAAGTCACAAAATTCGAACCCACATTCAACCACTAGTCCAACCATACCAAAATTAGTCAAATCCAATCACAACTCGACCTTCAAATCCTCAAATTATTGTTTATGAGATTTCTACAATTTTTCCCAAATTTTCATCTCAAAATACTAATTAAATGATGAAAATAATGATATATTCATGTATGTAAACCAAATCAAAGTTAAAATCATTTACCCCGATAAATTTCTTGAAAAATCCATGAACAATCGCCACAAACCGAGCTCCCAAAGTCCAAATATAAAATAATACTCTAACCCACGTTTATAAAGTACAAAATATGTTCTTCTATTGTGCCGACAGCATATTTTTTGTGTGGTCCACACATTCCAGGTTCCGCGTCCGCAATCCAAATTGTGCAGTCGCACTTCAGAAGTGACTGCACTACCAGGCTTCATTAAATTGGCCATAACCTTCGGTACAAATGTCCAATTGATGAATGATTTATCTTTCTGAAAGCTAAACTCAAAGGGCTACAATTGTTATTTTTGGATCATCTCCAAATTCCTTGTAGATTAAAAGATATAAGTTTCCGAATTCAGACCATCAGCCTGCAGATTCTCCTTTCTGCGGCCGCAAGAGGATTTCTGTGGTCCGCACATGAAGCTTTGCCTCAGCACTGCAAAATGTGCCCTCCGCACTTCACTCGCTCCAGAACATTATCAAAGTACCCAAATGCCCAAACATGTTTAAAACTCATCTGAAACACACCCGGGGTCACCGGGACCCCGTCCAAGCATATCAACAAGTCCTAAAACACACTACGAACTTAATCGAAGCGTCAAATCACATATAACTACATCTAACCGACGAATCACACCTCAAATCAAACTTAATGAACTTTGAATCTTCAACTTCCAAAACTCGCGCTGAAACATATCAAATCAACCCGAAATGAACTCAAATTTGGCACACAAGTCCCAAGTGACATAACGAAGATATTCTGATTCCCGGAACCATAATTTGAATCCGATATCATCAAAGTCAACTCTCGATCAAACTTATAAACTTTCCAAACCTTTAAATTTCCAACTTTCGCCAATCAGCGCTGAAACCTTCCAGAAATATCCAAATGCAAATCCGGGCATACGCCCTAGTCCAAAATCACCATCCAGACATAACATAACCATCAAAACTCCAATCCGAGGTTGAATATTAAAAAGTCAAACTTGGTCAACTCTTCCAACTTAAAGCATAAATCATGTNAACTTAAAGCTTCAATCATGAAATTCATCCTTCTAAATCAATTTCGAATAACCTGAAACCAAAACCGACAATTCACACAAGTCATAATACATCATATATAGCTACTAATGCCCTCAAACTACCAAGCGAAGTGCAAGTGCTTAAAACGACCGGTCGGATCGTTACAATTGCAAAGAACTAGAGATTAGCAGAGTGGTTTATTATCAATATGAGGAATAAAGGTCATGACAGGATAAGTGCAAGATAGCTATTTGAGATTTAACTCTAGTTTAATTCACTCTAATATTCTAATGATTTTCACGAATTCACTCGATGATTAGTTTAAACGTGTAGTCAAGACTCCTCTCTCGATTAAATCTTAACTCTACGAGATGAACTAATATAAGCATTGTGAAAATATGCAAGTATGCGTTACTGGATTAGTCTTCAGGAAAAGGTCTCTCGAATATTTTCCTAACTTGATTTGATCAACAATTCAACAAGCTATTTCGATTACTTAAGATAATCACTGAATTAAACCAAATAAAATAATGTAAAGATAATCACCAAAATATTTCTCTTCCGATTAAATAAACCGGTGAATAAGGTTGCAACAATTCAAAACCCCATAAACGAAATCAAGTAAATAACTAGAGTTAAAATTCACAAATATTAATCAAAATACCATATCCGTTAACCCCATGCGTGAAGTCGAGAGCTCTGGCGATTGGCGATTTGCGATGACTAAAAGTCGAAGCTCGAGCAGCTCTTCAATGGTCGCTCAGGCCACTGGCCAGCCTCCTCTTGAGGTTGGTCAGTCGTTTCCCCCCTCTCCACAACCATTAATGACCACTCCAAACACAAATCCAATCCATAATTATGCGAAACTACTTCAACCAGCTTCCTTAAATGCGCCCATGCAGCAACAACCTAACGTAGCCCTAAAACCTATTGAATACTTTCATGGAGAACCAATCGTACATTGGAAGAAGCAAGAAGCACGTCAATCCATCACTCAACAAGGATTAAACATGGCAGTCTTGGGAAAATTCTCGTATGGTTAGCCTGGGATTACTGATTTACTTAAAGCTATACCAATTTAATATAAACTAAAAGGCCAGTGTTCAGTTAGATTGATAGAGGATAGTCATGTGTTGATTAAGATCTTATTAATGGAGGATTATATCCATCTTTTGTCAAAACCAGCTTTTTATTTGAAAATACAAAATGAGATGTGGCAGATGCGTTGTACTAAGTGAAATCCTTGGTGGAAACCTACTGAGGAAACTCCTGTTGCCATAGCTTGGATTTCCTTTCAAGATTTACCACCTAACTTCTTTGGCAAGGAGTTTGTGTTTTCACTAGCTAGGGCAGTAGGAAGGCCACTTCATGCGGATTTGGCTATTCAGAATGGTACTCATCCAAGTTGTGCTAAAGTGAAAGTTGAGGTGAATTTGTTGTCAAATTTTCCTCAAAGAATCAAAATTGTAGAGGAGAAGGATGAATCTGGACCGGAGGATTCTAAGTGGATTAAAATTAGGTATGATTCTATGCCTAAGTACTATAAATCGTGCAAGAAATAAGGTCACAAAGAAGATGAGTGCTGGTTATTAATCTAGAATTGAGGAAGGTTAAAGATCAAGGCAATGACAAAATAACTGGGCAAGAGGTTATTGGTACAATAGCTGATACTACAAAGGTGTTAGCGAGTGGGAAAGTTGTAGGGAAAATAATTACGAATCCAACTGGGCAGGAGTGGATGCAAGAAAGGAAAAATAAATATCAGCGTGATACGAGGGGCTATATCATTGACAACATAAAGGAAAAGGAAGCTAACAATGGTAAGGGAAAGGCCAAAGTTGAGGCAGTAACTACAAATAACAAGTTTCATGCGTTGGAGGTGGAAGAGAATGATCAACCAATTTTGAGTATAACAGAAGGCAAATGAGATGATAATGTCAATAAAAATGTGAAGAAGCAACTGGCCAAAAGCTCCAATCAGGTCCAAGAACAGGAGCAGTTGAATAAGGCTGGAGATATCACCTCCAATCCTAAGAATAATAGGATTAGGTCCGTTAAGGATTTGGAGAAGGTAAATAATTCTAGATTGATTCATAAGGAGGCTAGGGTTCCTAATGTTGACAATATTTCTTTAAAGAAAGGAGAGGAGGAGGCTAGACGTATTAAGAAGGAAGATGTACTGGAAGTTGTGAATAAAGAGGAAGCTAATAAAGGAAATAATTTGAATCCTACTACAACTGGGATTATATCGTCAGGAAATAATGGAGTTCAAGAAGTAGCTAAGGCTAGTTATCCTAATCCTAATGAGGCAGGGATTGAATAGGGTATTAGAAAAGAATCGACCATTGAATGAGTGCATAGAAGATTTGGTGCAAACAAAGATGAATTAAGGGAACTCAATGTGACAATTAACCAATCATATCATGAAATTCCATCACAAATGTATGAGGATTCTGGACAATAGGAAGACTACAATGAAGTCAATTCTGAAAAAGATCTATGGAGTGATGAAGTTGATGATATGGAAGATCAAGCAGACACAACAAACATTACAGACAAAGAAAACAAGGGCAACAATCATATCCAAAAGGCAGGCACAAGGGAATCAAATGCTACAGTAAACCCTAGCAATCCAAAAACTAGGGTTGATGATAAGTTGAGTTCTAAATTTCATAAGTCAATTACACCAGCTGGGGGTGATAGAGGATCACCAAAAGAAGCTGGAAATTATGAAGGAGCAGTTGCAGCAACATTAGCCAAGATTCAAGCTAATGTAATAGTAAACCCTAGCAATGGTGGGCAGTTTGTGGCCACTGTTGATGGTGTTCCGGTGTATTCTTTGGGGAATGATCAAGTTGGGGATGATAATGTGAAGGTCTTGGAGGATACAGTGGGATCAAATCAACAAACAACTGATGGTAAGGGTAGTGATCCCAATGGAACAATAATTCTTGGGGTTTCTGTACAGTGCACCCTAACTTGAGTTCTGTATATGATCTTCAATTCAAGGTGATGCAGGAGAATATGAGGATCAGGGAGAAGAATTCAGACTTGTTAAAGGAGGCAACAATGATGTCACATGATGAAATTGACCATGAATTACTACCCAAGGACCCAGGTGCAATTGAGCCAATGGCCTGTGTTTCAGCCATTGATCAGATTATGCAGTTGCAGCTCAATGTGCCCCTGAAGTCACCATTGAAGACACTACATGATTTAGTTACACACAATATGGAACTTGTTGATATAGCTCTCATAGAACAACATCAATTGGAGGAGGAAAGGGATGGTGAATCAACTGCTGGCAATTTTAGAGAAGTCACAAGGGAGGGTGATTTATCACCTAGAACTAGTGCAAGGGGAGGTAAGAAGGCTAAGAAGCAGACTCAGAATAAGGAACTTGTTCAACCTACAAGAATCTTGCCCAGGAGGGCAGCCTCACAGACTAACTGATGAAACATTGATATGGAATATTAGGTGTGTAAACACTGAGCAGGCTTTTCCTAGGGTAATCAACATGCATATGGAGCATAATTTCTGTGTCATTGCACTAATGGAACCATTCCAGAAGGCAGGTCACATACAGAGGTATAAGAGAAGACTGAATATGGAGACTGCTTATTCAAATTTGAATGAGAAGATTTGGCTATTTTTTGATGTTGTGGTAGAATGTGAATTAGTGATGGAAACTGCACAACAGGTATGTAAAGGTGTTTCATATTGATCTAGGGCAACATATTAAATTGACATTTGTATATGCAAAATGCTCTACATTAGAGAGACTGGAACTATGGGATAACTTATACTATATGAAACGTGATATGGAGCTGCCTTGGCTAGTAGGAGGGGACTTCAATGTAGTATTACATGAAGATGAAAAGATAGGTGGATTTCCAGTGCACCCTCCGGAATATGAGGGTTTTGCATTTTGTGTAAATTCTTGTGGACTATTTTATCAAGGTTACAAAGGCAGTCCATTTACATGGTGGAATGGGAGGTCTAATGCTGAGTGTATTTTCAAAAGACTGGACAGGATATTTGTCAATTTTCCTTTTCAGAACATGATGCCAACAATTGAAGTGGAACACTTAATCAGAACTAGATCAGATCATGCATTATTACTCATGACATGTGGTGAGCAGGCTATAAACTTTGTCAAACCATTCAGATTCTTAAAATTCTGGACAAAACATGCTACATTTATGGAGGTGGTGAGGCAGAATTGGAATGCTGATTTTATTGGAGATCCTTTCCTAATGCTCAAGCATAAACTCAAGAAGGTGAAGGTAGAATTGTCTAAGTGGAGTAGGGATACATTTGGTAACATCTTCAAGCAGTTAGCTATATTGGAGGACATTGTTAGGGTAAAGGAGATGTCAAACATTTGAGGAGGAGCCTACTATAAAGAACAAGATTGTTCTTCAGAAAGCTCAATCAGAACTGAAGAAGTACTTGAGTATAGAGGAGCAATACTGGAAACAAAAAACTGGAATGATATGGTTTGCTGAGGGTGATAGGAACACTAGTTTCTTTAACAATCATGATAATGGCAAGAGGAAGAAGCTGCAATTGAAAAGGATTCAGAATGGAGATGGAGCATGGCTTGAAGATCAAGAGCAGATGGCTAATGCAACAATTGATTTCTACCAAATACAGTTCACAAAGGAGGGAGATCCTGCTGATTTCCCTATGCTGGACAATGTCCCAGAAATGGTGACCATGGAGTAGAATTTGGAACTATGTAGATTTCCAACCCTAGAAGAGGTCAACGCTGCTGTGTTTGAATTAAGTGGAGATAGTGCTAGTGGTGCTGATGGATTCACTGAATTGTTTTATCAAACATGCTGGGAAGTGATATGCTATGACATTCACAATATGGTGCTTCATTTTTATGGAGGTACAACTTTACCAAAGTCTATTACTCACACTAATTTTGTGCTACAGCCAAAAAAGCCTAGGGTCCAGACTTTCTCAGACTTAAAACCAATAAGTTTGAGCAACTTCATCAACAAGGTGATCTCTAGAGTTATTCATTACAAATTGGAGAAATTCCTGCCTAGATACATATCTCCTAATCAATCTGGATTTGTGAAAGGGAGGAGTATCTTTGAAAACATTCTGCTCACTCAGGAGATTGTCACTGAAATCAGGATGAGAGGTAAGCCTGCTAATATGGTGATTAAGCTGGATATGACAAAGGCTTATGATAGGGTGTCATGAAAATATTTGATGCATGTGCTAAGAAGAATGGGGTTTGCTGAACACTTTATCACTATGATTTGGAATCTTCTCTCTAACAATTGGTATTCAGTTTTGGTGAATGGGCAAGCATCAAGATTCTTCAAGTCTACAAGAGGGGTGAAGAAAGGAGATCCTTTATATCCTGCATTGTTCATATTGTCTACTGAAGTTCTATCTAGATCTTTAAACAAACTATTTGAAGATAAGTCCTTTATTGGATTTGGCATGCCTAAATGGTCTAATCCTTTGAACCAATTGGCATATGCTGATGATACTATTATATTTGCCTCAGCTCATCCTCCCTCATCGAGCAAGATTATGGCAGTATTAGGAGGCTATGAGTAGATCTCAGGACAACTGATTAACAAATCCAAGAGCTCTTATTATATGCATAACAATGTTGCACATGCCTTATTTCAAGCAGTTGGTGACGCTACAGGCTTTACTAGAGGGCAGTATCCATTCACATACTTAGGATGCCCTATTTTCTACACTAGAAGAAGAAAGGAGTTCTATGAGGATCTTATCAAAAAGGTGAAGGCCAAGTTACATAATGGAAAGTTAAACTGTTATCATTTGGTGGAAAGGCAACTCTCATTACTAGTGTGCTTTAAAGCATGCCAATACATCTATTGTCAGTTCTGGACCCTCCTAATAATATTCTGGAGCACATGCATAAGAGTTTTGCAAGATTATTTTGGAGCACAAATGTAACAAACCGTCCGGTTATTTTGAGTGTACAATCTCGTTCCCCCATTTACTGCTTATCCCGTGTTCAATTATAATTTTGTGATTCGTCGGAAAGGTTTCAGAATGAATTGGAACACTTAGTTCCAAGATTTAAAGCTTAAGTTGAAATAGTTGACCGGATATTAACTATGTGTAAATGACCCCAGAATAGAGTTTTGATATTCTAATAGCTCCGTATGGTAATTTTGGACTTAAGAGCGTGTCCGAAAAATTATTTGGAAGTCCGTAATTAAATTAGGCTTGAATTGGCTAAAAATAGAAATGTAAGTTTGAAAGTTTGACCGGGTAGTTAACTTTTTGATATCGGGGTCGGAATCTATTTCTGAAAATTTGAATAGGCCCGTTATGTCATTTATGACTTGTGTGCAAAACGTGAGGTCAATCGGACTTGATTTGATAGGTTTCGGCATCGAATGTAGAAGTTGAAAATTCTTAGTTTCATTAAGCTTGAATTGGGGTATGATTCATGGTTTTAGCATTGTTTGATGTGAGTTAGAGGTTCGACTAAGTTCCTATGATGTTTTAAGACTTATTGATGTATTTGGTGGAGGTCCCGGGGGCCTCGGGTGAGTTTCGGATGATTAACGGTTCAAATTCGGACTTAGGAAATGCTGGAATTTTTCTGTTGCTGGTTCTGGTGTGATCGCACCTGCGGCTCGGTTGCGCAGGTGCAATGGTCGCAGAAGCAACAGAGGAGTCGCAGGAGTGAGGTGTGATCTGGTGAGGAAGATCGCAGAAGCGGAAGTTAGGGTGCATATGCGCGTCCGCAGAAGCGTAAGATTAGCTGCAGAAGCGGCGTGTGGCGCAGAAGCTGGAGTTGGTTGGCGCACATGCGCGTGTGCAGAGGCGGAAAATGTCTGCAGGTGCGGAAGGGCTGGTCTCAATGGTCTTTGCAGAGGCGAGATTTTATCCGCAGATGCGACATTTTTACCGCATATGTGGAATCGCTGGGCAAAATGCCTTATATTAGAGGGTTCAACATTTTTATCCATTTTCGGATTTTGGAGCTCGGTTTGGGCGACTTTGGAGAGGAATGTTTCCATACAACTTGGGGTAAGTGTTATTGACTTCCTTTGGATTATATTCCAGGAATTAATCTTCGTTTTCGGCGTTAGATTATTGATTTTTCAAAGAGAAATCGGAGGAATTTTCTACAATTTCATAAAAATGAATTTCCGAGATTTGAACATCGATTCGGAGTCGGATTTGAGTGAAATTAGTATGGTTGAACTCGTAATTGAATGAGTTGTCGGATTTTGTGAGTTTCGTCGGATTTCGAGACTTGGGACCCACTGTCGATTTTTCGAGCGGAGTTGAGAATTTTTCTAAATTGTTAAATTATAAGCATTGGAGGAAATTATGATTTATTTGCACGTTATTTGAATAGATACAGATCGTTTGGCTTGAATTGAGGAGATAGGAAGCGTTCAGAAGTTGATATGCGCAGAATGAAATTTCTGGAGCATTGTTGATCTTGCTCGGAATTGGATTCGACTTGTGTGAGATAAGTAACTCTTCTAATCTTGGAGCTGAGGGTATGAATCCTGATTATATGTGTTATGTGTTTAGTGTTGAGGTGACACACATGCTAGGTTACGGGCGTGTAGGCGTGCACCGTTCGAATTGTGACTCTGTTATTCTCGTGGTAATGTGTACTTACCTGAACTTATCTGTAATAATGAAATCTCTTCGTACTAGATTTATTGAGTTGTGACTCATGTTAGAAATAATGCTTAGGCCAATGTTGACATTATTGGGACCCACTGAGGTCATTTCTGCTGTCGATTTATTTTTTTAAATTGTAACTTCATACTCAGTCATGTTTATTCATTTTATATCATCTCTCAGTCTCTGTTGCTATTTATTGATTCATCATATCATCATTTTGGGCCAGTTTCATGACATTGTGAGCTTGAGAGACGGGAGAGATTGATGATTGAGTGAGGTCGATGGCTTGATTGTGAGGATAATTATGGGATCGGTTGCACGCCGCAACATGCCATATTGGCTTTATATACTTTATTATTATGGGATCGGGCTGCATGCCGCAGCATGCTAGATTGGCATATTATAGCATGTGAGTTGTTCGTGCGGATCCATTGATACTATAGCACGTGAGTTGTCCGTGCAGATTATAGTGCTTGCGCTGAAGGAGCGCCTCTGGAGTCTGTACACACCCCCAGTGAGTGCAGGTACCTATTGAGTGCGAGTGCCGAGTGCCGAGCGATTGGGAGGACTGAGTGATTGTGAGTACTAAGTAACTGTGAGGACTGTGTGACTGTGAGGACTGGGTGATTGGGAGGACTGAGTGAATTGATACTCTGAGAGTATGCATATGATTTTATCACTGAGTTGCATCGCATTCGACATGCACACTTGATATGCAGGCATAGAGATGCATTTTTCCTCATGTTTCACGGTATCACATCATTCATGACTTATCATACATATTGATATGTAAGCATAGAGATGTATTTTCCTCATGCCATTTGAAAATGAAATATTTACCTGTTGAAAGCTTTGAGAAAAATCATAGAAACTTACTCATACTATGGTGATTTCGGCAAAAGATTTGAGTTTTACTGTTATAATTGAAAAGAAAATGTTTATTTTCTAGAATTGTATACGAGCTGAGCATTTTATTGTTGAATTATTACTGGTGTTACTTTCATTATATTTTTATGAATTGTTGTTGGGTATTGGTGTTGGACCCTGACCTTTGTTCCAGCTCGTCACTACTTTCAACCTAAGGTTAGGTTTGTTACTTATTGAGTACATGGGGTCGGTTGTACTCATACTACACTTCTGCACCTTGCCTGTAGATTTTGGATGTTGATGTTGTTGTACATGGCGAGAGCTGGATCTGAAAACGTAACTGCGTTCCAGTCATTGCTGCCTCTTGTTCATGGTAGCCTTAGATTTATAAAAATTCGTTTATGTATATTTTGAATAGATGACGTATTTATTTCATACCAGCTTTGTAATTTCCAATCTTAGAAGCTCATGATTTGTACTTCCAGTCCTTGGGGAGTGTATTAGAGTCAGTTAAATATTAATTGAATCGGATTATTGTTATTTGGCTTACCTAGAGAGTGAGGTTAGGTGCCATCACGGCTAGTTGGATTTTGGGCCGTGACAACAAAGGAAGAAGTTAGGAGTAGGCATTGGTCATCTTGGCAGAATCTATGCCTCCCTAAAGAAGAAGGGGGCTTAGGTTTTAGGTCTCTGCATGATGTCTCAAGAGCTTTATTTGCTAAGATTTGGTGGAGATTTAGGACTACTAAATCATTGTGGTCAAACTTCATGTGGAACAAGTATTGTAAAAAGGAGTTGCCTACAGTGGTGCAATTTAGGGAAGGGTCTTATGTATGGAGGCGAATGTTGAATGCTAGGGAAGAAGTAGAGCATGAGATTCTATGGGAGATGAAGAGTAGAACAACAAACATATGGCATAAAAACTGGACTGGACTAGGTTCTCTATACCATGTACTACACCCAGATTTTCCAATAAATGAGGAGTTACAAGAGGTGGCAAAATTGAGACAAGGTGAATCATGGAATGACCACCTGATTGATCAAAGCTTCCATGAAGATATTGCTGATCACATTAGGATCAATGTGCATTATGAGGGAAATGAGGACTACTGGGATAGACCATATTGGATGGCGACATCATCAGGTAAGTTCACTGTTAGTGGTGCTTGGCCGATTCTGAGGCATAGAGCTGATCCTAATCAGGAGTTCAAACAAATGTGGACAAAAGGATTGCCATTCAAGATATCTTTCTTTTTATGGAGGTTGTGGAGACCAAAATTAGCTAATGATGATATGTGGAGGAGGCAAGGGCAGATGGTTATGTCTAGATGTTGGTGTTGTCAGCATCCTCAGGAGGAGACATTAGAACATATCTTTTTAACTAGCCCTACTGCATCAAAGGTGTGGAATTTGTTCATTGGAGCTGCAGGAATTGATGTTCCATTAATTCAATTGAAACAAGTGATAAGGCATTGGTGGAATGCACAATTTTGTCCAAAGTTGAAGCCACTGTTTCAGGCAGCTCCAGTTATCATTACTTGGGAGTTATGGAAGAAGAGAAATGCAGGCAAACATGGAGGATCATTGTCTACTAATAGGGTTATTCATGAGGTTAACAAGACATTGCATCAATTAGCACGGGTTAGGTATGCATGGCTATCTCATATACCTTTGTTATGGCCAGACATGATCCAATTCTTTGAAGCTTATAAACCAATCTTGATCACTAGGAGAGTTACTTGGCAGCTTCCTCATTATGGGTGGTATAAGTCTAACACTGATGGAGAATCAAAAGGAAAGTCCGGCCCTAGTTCGCTTAGCTTTTGTGTGAGAAATGATGCAAGTGATTTAGTGTATGCAAGGGAAGTGGACTTAGGGATGACCACAAATGTTGTAGCTGAAGCAAAAGTAATAGTGCAAGGGTTGGAGTACTGTGTGGAGAATCATCTTCATCTCTCATTTTGGAAACAGATTCTTTGGTGCTTAAGAAGGTGATTGAAGGGAATTGGGATCCAACGTGGGTTACTGTTCTGGATGTGAAGAAGATCAAGGAGATGAGG